AATTTGAAATTAGTTTTGTCCAATTCGACTTATTTTAGGAGAAAATCGGCATTTTCAACTGAAATTCCATTTCCGGTAAAAACAATAGCGAGAAGTCGTGACGTAAGCGGTGGAACTAAAATATTGCGCAACACATATTCCCCAGTAGAACTGGTGTGGGAGTTCGTGTAAATAGCTGTAGTTCGGAAGATGTTTTTTCAGAAGATAGCAACTCGAATGCCTTAAGCTTAGTACATGACAGCGCTGGGGATAATCCAGAATCTTCAGGAGAGTCTGGGCCACGTCCTTAACAATATGAGCCGCGTAGGGTTCACCGAAGCGATCCGCAAGAAGACAGTACAGAACATGTCGACAGCGATGCGACCGTCTCGGAAACTCAGACTGGTATTTTATTTACTTTGTGATTTATTTGTATTTAACATGAAAATGCAATAAAGCGAGGGTACAATCTAAAGGAATGCAACATAATTTTTTTTAACTTGAGCTTCTGAAAGTGTTTTATTTAAAATTATCAAAGGTGCGAGTGTGGAACTTGTCAACCAATGCCGACAACTCATGAAAGTGCTTGTTGTACGGAAATCGGGCAATTGTGGCAAAATGGCCTGAAACCCAGATAAGTTGTATCACTGAGCATCCAGGTTTTCAGTCAATTTGCTTCGATTTCTGGGTGCTGGAGACGGCCAAGTACGCGTACAGGCAGCAGCAAAGCACAGATAATCACACCGGAAACGACTAAGCTAAATATTTTCTGTTTCATCTGTTTTGTTACATTTTGAGATCGATTTACTTGAGTTGTTTCTGCCATTGATTTAATAATACAGTACTAGAGCTTCTTTCCTGGCAGGAAATTTCGCTAAATTGCCTACAGATAGCTTGTTCGTTGGTGTTGGGGATATCTCGGCAAACACTTTAGGGTCGCTGTGCTATCTTGTGCGGTAAACAATATCCTTCATCTCAGAAGCATTTCCATCGATAAACAAGTTGTATCATGTACATTTCCTTGTGTGGCCTTCATAACTATCCAACCCTGTTTGTGTTTGCTTCGATTTGAAATATTGAAAAGATAGTTTTGCAAGCTGAAATCAGGATCTTTTAAGTTGTACTCAAAATGATGAATATTGTCCTACTGACCTTTGAATGTATTTTCACTGCTGTTAAAACCGTGACACAAATTCTTCTGCTGTTTCTCTGCAGGGTTTCTCAAAGGAAGCACCAAGCGGGGCTGGCTTGGATTTTCTTATAGAACATAAGGGTTGATTTTGGGATCCTGTATAGAATTCTTTGTATCGAACCGACAAAATTCCAGATCACGTTATTATACACTGATATCAACGAATTCTCTTTCTTTGATACGTGTTTCGAATTCAGGCAAAGGTTCAGACATGTCAGTGTCTTTTACGGGCTTAGCGCTGGCTCCCGAACAACTGGCTTCCCCATAATATTTCATTAGATGAGAAAAAAGATGTTTTTAGAGAACCAATAAAGCTATTGTTGTTTAATTAACGAAACGTTTTCATGTAAATCAATTTTGTACTTTCTCTGTTGACCTCTAACTTTTGAAGAGCTCAACTTCTTTCTCAGTTCGGTCGGCCACTTCCTCGTCGTCTGCCGACTGTATGGGTCGTTTTTTTTACTTCCAAATAATTTGCTTCTGGTGAGGCCTGAATCGTCGGTACAGCACCAGGAAGAAAAATGACTGCTACAAACAACAGAACGGCTCGACGAAATCGGCTATTTTCACTTGAACAAATTTCACAAATTGTCGCTTCAAATTTGCGTCATTTGGAAATATTTGCATTGTATGCCCAGTTTTGTTTGAATCAGAACAAAACTGGACGACACAATGCTTCACCATTACGAAAAAATCGAATATATTGAAGCAAACTGTAAGTAAAAAAATCATGACGAGACCAGCAAACAACGGCTGTAGAAAAGACTCCTTCGTGCCTCACGCGATTATAAAACGAGACTTTGGAGGGTCCACCCGTGACGTCACAGGAAAGATGGCGCCATTCAAGCTGGCGAATGTTTCGAATTTGGAAGAGCTTTTACAAAGTGAAAATGGACTTTTGAGAATAAACGAATGGTACCTTTGGTGTACTTGATATATTTACTAAACATCTATGTGAAAAGAAAATGAACGTTTTTTGGGTTTACATGCCCTTTAAGGCTTTGATCGAATCACACCCTATATAATTTAAACTTGCCTATACCTCGCGCCATGGCCTCTTGAAAAACAATAAAAGGCTTTTTCAAATATCATAAATTAAATTTTTCTGTCCTTTAGATCTTTGTGTTTCTCCACCAAAACAATCGAGAAATATTACCCGAACCAGGAATCAACTCAATAGATGGTAACTGAGCTCCTTGAAGACACAGTCAGTAAAAAGAATTTTACCGCAGACGCGATGCGAGACAGCTCGATGAATTTATTTTCTTAAAATAATTTAATTTGATTCATCCTCAACCTTCTCAATCACAAATTGAAAGTTTTGTCTATTAGGATATCACTTGACTACAGGCTCAATTCTGGTATAATTAACACGATTTATAATCATACAAATGCTCGATGCCGTCTAACTAAATTACGAACTTAAATGATAATCTAAGCGACAAGAATGAAATAACTGAACGATTACAATCACATAAATGCACGACTGAGAACAAGTAAAACTGACGAAAATTGAAATGGAGACTAAATATAACTACAAAGGAGAAAAAACAATCTTACTGATTGTCCTTTTTACACGCCTGAATGAAATAAACGCACTGGAAAATTGAAACGTATTGCAACTCCGCAAAGACTTTATGACTCTCTTTCGCAATGCAAAACACTGGCAACGCACGATTATATGGATCCTTAGGTTTGACTAGGGGGCATTTGGGACTTTGCCAAACCTAACGGTCCTGTCAGTGCAATGACTGTGATCACGAGCATATCGGACCGACCAAGCGTCAGTTTGGTACAAGTTTGAAAGAGCATCAAAAGGCGGTCTTTTTTTATCAAAAACAAGAAAAGTAAGCCTTGGCGGAGCACACATGCCTAACCAACCATACAATAAACGGACCTCCCTCCGCAGCATTTAGATCACCCCTGATGAAGGCATTAGACAGGAATGTCGAAACGTTGGGTCTATGAATTGTAACTTCTCAGTCATATTCATTAAATCTTTAAACCAGAGTAGCATCAAACCATGTCTGATTATGACACCTTCCTGATTTATTAACTTTTATTTGAAAATTCATTTTCTAAATAACTAGGGTGCTTTGAAAGATTTCAGAAATTTTTACCATGGAAACGTTAGGTTAAATGTTTGAATTCAGTTCAGTCAAATAAAAGAAAAATCTATTTTTTCGGCCTCTGAACGTGGGAAGTAACCTTAAAAGCTGACTAAAGTCACGGCGGTGCTTCACTTTGGCCTCTAGGTACTTGAGTGAACAAGCCTTGATTGGTTTTAAATCACATTACTTTAACAAAGTATGTCTGCCATCGTTACGTTTGCTTGTCTCGCAACTGATCTCACTTGCAATGTGGCACAAGACAGCAATTTTACAGTGATGATGTTACGCCACTCAATGCAATATATCAGTGCTCCATAAGGAAACAGCTACATTTAAGTCAAGATTTTTGGGGTCCAAATCCGCTAGGAAATCGGAAGACATCTCATCTTTATCAGATGTAACTTAAGCTCAACAGTAAATCAGTACAAACACGTCACGTCTTGAGACGGCTCTTTTGGTCTCGATACATTTCCTAGCGATTACGGTTTAACTTTTTTCCAGTTTTCTGTGTCATCTTTGTACCAAATACGAAAATCATAGCGCGATAACTGGAAATTTTAAAGTTACATTTTTTATCATTGGGATACTTCTTTCTATGAACAACAATTTATTATTGATGAGCAATGTTCTGTTACAACTCATACGTAGGGGAAAATCCACTTTCAGAAAGCAGGAAACGTAATTCTATCGCAACCGCAAAACTTCAAATCAAGACATCTGTGATAATTACAAAAGTAAATATTGACGGCGTTGCCAAAACATCAACCCTAATTTCATGCATACTCTCGCTCTCTGTCCATAGATCTTTTGAAATGTCCTCGGGTGACAGCGCTAGATCGAGCTAGTACATGTTTACAAGAAATCGGACCGGCACTGCAATAGGAATAGCGTGACAATAATAGAAATAAAGGACAAATTATTTTTCTACATTATCGCGTTTCAACATGAAACCCCAATAGTAAGGGAAAGGGCGACAGCTTTATAGTACGGTGGCCTCATGAATGAGGGAGATCACTTAGGAGATATTAAATCCACCTTTCCATTGGGTCGAAGTCAGTAAAAGCATTCTTGGTGTCAAAGATTAAGATGAGACAACGAATAATTTGCAATCATGATTACCGTAGACTCGATTGTTTACACATGAACATCTGCGTGGAGGTTATCCTTTTGAACAAATGGCTAGCGAACACTGTACAGGAAAAGGGTTAAGATTTTCAGTTTTAAGACTTTAGTGCCTCTCAATACTGGGCCCTGTTTATCACGCTGACTCTATTTCAAGGATCTTGCCTTAACAGTGTCTCCTCAAAAATTCTGATGTGCTCATACGAGAAGGAGGGATAGGAAAGCTCAGGTGCGGGTTTCGGATTTTTCTCATAAGAACCCTAAAACCGCGTTACCACGATAAAAATTCTAAAAATGCAACTTATTCATTTCCCTTGGTAAGCTACGATTTCTGCTATGAACAGGCTAAAATTTTCCCATCACTGGAAGAGCTAAATTACCGCTCAAATCCGAAGAAACCCTGAACAGAATTAGACCGAAAAGATCTCCCAAGAAGAAGATGGTTGCAGAATTGAAATTGAATAAACATCACACGTTGTCGGACTTAATTATTGACTAGCTAAAGTTCTCCCATGCATATCGTCTACCTTTCTAACGATCAATTTGTCTTAGAACTAAACTAATCATCACTGCGAATGCAAGAAATGCCTAGTCACCTCTCCACTTGATGTTCCCGTGTCATCCGTATGAAAGCTGGTGCCACATCTCTTCAAACAGAGCTCTGTCTGCCCAGTTAACTTCGTTTCATCAGGAAAGTGAGTTCCGGGGACGCTTCGACATTGCACACACACGAGTGTAACATTGCCCCAAATGAACAGAATGACAACACTGTTGAAGAAAGATTCACACATTATTATTTCCGCCGAGCTTCCTCCGTACTCAAGTGGTATAAAAGTGCAACTCGTGCTTGAATGAAGTTCACAATCGCGGCGCGGCTCCCAGTAATGATCCTGTCAGTCATTCCGGGCACGTGATGTTTTGTTTCACATATGTTACGCATTGCAGCGGTGCATTTATTGGACCAACGTAAATCACGTTTTTCGACAGCACTTTTTGAATAAAGAAAATTTCAGGATACTTTTATCAAAATATCAAAACAATTAAGGTGGAGACATTGACTAGGAGGAACTATTGTATAAGAATAGAGATTAATTGCGACAGACCTATTCTGGATAAATTAACTTCATAACAACTGTGACACAACTTACTGACAACCCTGTAAGTGGCTTCTGTAATACAATAGGCATTCAGACGTAAAAGAATATAGAGATGGTATTTCCTACGGCACACCGCAAGACGTCATAACGCAGATGATTACGCAAACCTATTCAAGTTTGTCGCTTGGAATGAACTGGATGAATTAACTTTAAAATAGTTGTCACACAGCTTATTGACGACCCTGTAGGTGGCTTTTCTAATACAGTGTGCATTCAGACGTAAGATAAGGTATACCTAATACTGCAAACGGCACGCGGGAAGTCGTCAAAAACGTAGACTGAGAAGACTGATTTGCAAAACATTCCGGCCATTGATAAAATATTACGGCAAATTTCTTTCTGATCAAAGACCCTCATATATGGTTATCTGAATAAGAGAGATAGTTTCAATAGGAAAATAAAAGAAAAGTTATAATTAGATCAAATCAACACATCGTAATTCCTAGCTAAGAGTTTTCAGGAATCTTTGTAGCTCCATGCATGTGTCTGTTTGCATAAGATTGTAGTAACAAAAACAGTGGATGGTTTTAGCGACTGGAGACAAGTGGGTAAAAAACAGCGATTATTACTCAACATAGGATAACGATCGTTTTGAAAGTTCATATTCTCGTTAACTCCACTTCATATGCCAGTAAACACTGCTTTATTTGAAGTGTTTCTATGTACTCTTCTCCGGAATTCCTAGGTTTTCTTTTACTGGGTTACTTTTCCTTCATCTGCTTAACCTTAAATAATGTTCCTGTCAGTAAATATGCGATAACAAATTTATTTTTAATCATCAAAATAACAATTCTAAGTCATTAATTTTTACATCTCAGTACAATTTTCTCGCATAGGTTGGATTATATTTGGTCGTTATTGTTATTATCCTCATGATCATAATAACGATTGTCATATATAATTATCATTATTAAAAACATATCTAAGCGATGAAAATAACTACACTTCGACAAGGGGAAAAATGATCTTTGGTATCGGCATTGGAAACGAAAACTGACTTCACCGACTAACTTAAACAACTGCGTTAAAATAAAACCTCATAAATGTAAAGCGTTGAGATCATAAGCGTGACGTTCATCACGCGATTTGCATCGTCGTGACGTTTAAAACCAGCGAAAGAGGACAACACGTAGTGAAATCACTGAGAAAGTGACCTCAACTTATGTCAACAAAGGAAATTGATATCATCTAATAAAGTATGGTAATGGTCTCGTAGTCTCATTAATTACATCAGCTTTTCTTATCTGTCAGTCATGAATGTGGCCTAAAATCGTGCAGAAAGATACACAATCGAGCGCAAAACAAGTGAAATGAAAGCCTTAACTGCTCTCCCGCAGGATTACTGACAAACGATCAAACAAAAGAAGAGAGGAAGAGACTCTCGAGTAACCCGCTGACGTAAAAATATTAAAAGGTCAATTATGATAAGCCCGTCACGTTACGGCTGGCGTTTCGATTAAAATGGCAAACCAAAAATAACTAAAACAAAAAAGAGCAAAGCAAACACACAAACAGACAATGGAGGCCGTGACGTCACGGCTCCAAGTTACTAAAATTTTCGCTGGTTGTGTTGCTCATTTCGCTCACTGTATCGTTTTGCAGTCATTCACGCCATATACTGAAGCCCACTGTGCACTTGGCAGCAAAATCATGTAACAAATTAAAGTATGCATCGCATTAGGAAAAAATATTGTACATCTGAATCAAAAGGCACTACTTGGTGTGTGTAAATCCAGAGTGAATGTTTACACACGTG